GATTGTCGCCTCACCGCACAGGCTCCATAGGAAATGAATGGAGAGCGAGTGACGTCGCCTCCCGTGTGTCGAGCCCTTAAGTCTATAGCAGCAGAACTAAGGAATAATTCAGGAAACCTAAGTCTAACTATAGGATTTATCAAAAAGGAAAGTCTTCAGTCTAATCTTAAAAGTAGACAGAGTGTCAGCCTCACGGATCGAAACTGGAAGTTGGTTCCACAAGAGAGGAGCTTGATAACTGAAAGCTCTGCCTCCCATTCTACTTTTAGAAACTCGAGGAACAACAAGTAAACCTGCAGTCTGAGAGCGAAGTGCTCTGTTAGGAAAGTATGGAACAATAAGATGTTTAATATATGATGGAGCTTGGTTGTTAAGAGCTTTGTATGTTAGGAGTAATATTTTAAATTCTGTTCTGAATTGACAAAGCCAGTGAAGAGAAGCCAAAACTGGAGAAATATAATCTCTCCTTCCTACTCTCATTACAAACTTAGATAACTTTTACTGATTAGCATTCTATAATGCATGTACAGTGCCCTAAAATGGTTTCTGTTGTGAACTGAACTGATCAATCAGTCAAGACACAAAAAACAAAAAGTGCATGACACATTTATCTGAGCTGCACGACACAAGTTTGTAGTGTTTGCAGGAGAACAGAACTTCAGCTCTAAAACTTGTGTTCCTGTGCGCCGCAGAGCTGCAGCCGTGTGACGGGGAGATGAGGGCAGCTGGGCCGATGCATCACATGTCACATACACACAAAGAAGGTCCGCTGATGGGTGAAATGAGAGGAGTTGGGAGTGTCACTGCATGACTCAAAGATGGAGGGCACCGGCAATAAATGTTCACACAGGGCACTGAACCGAACTCCTCCACTTTGTTTTTTTGGTTCATTTTGTTTTAAGTCCTTCTACCCCTCCAGCTCTCCTCCTTTGTTTTTCCTCTCTTTGCATCTTCCACAACACTTTTCTGTAATAACTTTAGCTACTTTTTATAACTTTCCGCTCAAAGGCCTTGTCTTATTTTCCACACGATCAGTTTTGTCCTCTCAGCAACGTGAATCTTTATATAAACTTCTCAAAGTCATTTCAATTAAACATATTTCACGTCGGTGTTGTGGTTCGAGCTGTCATTTTGACGAAGCAAGTAAAGAAAGAAATGAACAGATGATATTTCCTGGCACCATGGCTGATACTGGGTCTGCGTCTCAAATCGTGGGTTGCAGCCGACGTGGGATGTAGGCTGTCCCAGTTTGTGGGCGCCTACTCATGCAGCCGACAAAACCTCAAATACATTTGCTGCATCTGAGTATACTATGTGGCCGACGGTATCCCAGAATTCATTGCACCGCAAATTAAACAGAAAAACAAAGAAAGAGGTTTTTTTATTGATTATATTTTTAACGACAAAGTTTATAAATTTATCACGGACCGAAAAACGTAAGTTTTGCAACTTAGCTGAAGAAAGTTTTTTTGCAATAAGATGTTAAATAAAATGCAGTTACAAGCACACTTGTATTGGAGCTAAACTCAGATTACTAATGCATTTGACTTATTTATTTGTAACTTTTTTAAAAATAAAAATAAATATTGTGAAGTTATAAGTTGACAAAAAAACAACTGAAGTGATGTGAAAAAAAGCGTATCAGCATGGTAACGAGGCAGCATGCGGTCACGCAAACATACGTCTTCTGTAGACTAGACCGTCTCATCTCAGCTGTTTATGCAGCCGACTAGCCTGGTAAAAACCAGACCCTTGTCCTTCACTTTGCTTCATAGGGTCTGGACTCTCGGCTATAGAGAAGCGATTCTTACTGGAGGCGTGGCCTCTACTAAAGTTTAAAATGATTGGATTGGTTGGCCATGACGTTTGTGTTTGTTAGCTCCACTGTGAAGGAGGCTAGGCTAAGAAGCTAACCGGAAATTACGTGCGCTGTAAACAACCCCACTGAGAGGAGAGAAGTACCGAGCTGAACGAGACGCTATAAATAAGAGCTGCTGCTTTGTCAGACAAATTTATTTTAATTTGGAAGTCTTATCAACACAGACTGGCTTCATTCACTTCCTCCATTGCCATTGCTAAGCTAACTAGCAGACACTGCGCAGAAAATCAACGTCGTTCAAAACTCCACCTTCTGTTCTCTGATTGGCCCAAACGAAATTCTCCTAAAGAAATCCTTGGAAGAAATCCCAGACGGAGCCGTGAAGGGAAACTAGGCTAGCAGCTGACACGAGCGGCATACAGCCTATGTAGACTGTGGTCGTCTGCCGCGGTCTATGTCGGCTGCAACCCATGAATTGAGACCAGCCTACACATACCGAGGTGGGTAGAGTACCCAAAAATTGTACTCAAGTAAGAGTAGCACTACTTCACCATATTTTTACTCAAGTAAAATGAAAAAAGTTGCAGACCATGAAATGACTCAAGTAAGAGTAAAAACGTATTTGGTAAAAAGGCTACTCAAGTAGTAACTGATCAAGACATCAATCATTTAATATTTTTAAATGACATCATCAGATGTGAAGAATTTTT